TATGCATTAAACCAGAAATATTCAAAATAATCACCTATGAATGAGGAATTCAGTCGTTACATGTTTATAAAGTGCTTTTTTCTTGACGTCTAAGGGAAGGTGCTCCAAAGTACTTCAGGTGATACCAGAAAGAAGCTAGGTTTGCCACTAATTCTGTATATCAATAGCTCTGCTTTTTATACCTTTTCCCAGTTGTGTATTACTGTTATGATGGGACTTTGAACAGTAGCACAACTTCAGAGATGAAAATAACATTTCTGGAGTTTAGTTAGTAGAGACTGTTAGAAAAATGGGTGACAAATGTGGTTTAAAAAGAAGTCTGAAGAGCAGAAACTGTGTATGGACTTCGTGGGTATGGTATGTTTACCAATGTAAGCTTTTTTGTTCAGTGTTTGCTTTAGACAAACCCCTACTTTTGAAACTAAGAAACTGAAGGGTTTTCTGGATGCTTTGTATGAAAAAAAATACATAAGGGAAGGCTTGAATGGAGATGCAATCTCTGTTAATTGTCCCATTAATGTAGTGGTGGAGGAAAAAAAAGCTGTTGAGTACAAAGCTCTAGAAATAGAAAGCAGTAAATTCTGAGGTAAATAAAGTTCAAAAATAATTCCTCTGAAATTAATTTTGCTAATCGATTAGACAATTTTAAGAAGAGATAACGAGCCTAAAATGCTAAAATTACATTTATTTCATAACGCACACTGACCAATGTAACCAAAATACCCAGAAATTTCTCTACCACCTGGTTTGCCAAGAAACCCATCTTTTAGGTGCTTTTTCTATTGATGGAATTCCATTGACCTCAAATGGGACTTTCTGCTGTGATGGGCATTTGTGTACAGCTTCTTTTGCAAAAGGAGACCCTTGTTAAATGCCAGAGGAAGTGCAGAGGATGAGTTCATTTGTTTTTTTGAATCATCCTTTGGTGTTGTATCAGTGACAAACTGAAGCTGATTTTATGCTCTGCAATTTGTTCTAGGTAGTTTTGAGTGTCAGAACTTAGAGAAAACATACATATGTTTGATAAATAAGCATTCAGTGCAATGTAAATATGTAAATGCAGTGCGGCTGCTGTTTTCTAATTTTTTATCTTGCTAAAAATATATTCAGTCATGGCTCTTTGCTCTTGCACGTTAACTTTATATCTCATATAACACTGATATCTCCAGCAAGATGTACTAGACAAATGGAGACAAACACAAAATGAGAATATTGGAATAGCTGCAGTAGGGAATTGTAAAAATATTGCAGCTAAGTTTGGGATGCTTTAATATATTAATTCTGAGAAACATATTGCTGGTGCTCTTGCAACTGCTTACAATAAATACAGGTTTTCGAGGCAATGTCTAGCCAAGGTTGCTATTTTGCTGGAGGATGCTTTTTTATAGAGATTCTAAATATTTGACATAGATTTGTCAGGGAGACAATCAGTGATATCTGGCTAATAAAGAAGGATATCTAAAGCACACAGCTGGTGTTTTCTTTGTATTGAGAAGTGAAGTGCTAGCTGCTCTTCAGTAACAAGCTTAGTTCTGAAGAAGGAAGAAAATGTGTATAATATTGCACTGAAACCAAGTAAGCTGTTTAACATGATTAACATCTGATTGACACAATCCCTGTAATAACTGAATAATAGGACTATTATTCTGCTACCAGAATGACTGAAAACATTGGTCCTTTCCACTGAAATGGAAAAGCCTTCAGAATGTAGATCAGCCTTAAACCACTATTGTACCTTTTCCTACGAATGCCAAAATTTTGTTCCCACCCCAAATTAAACTTTGAAAAAAAAAAAAAAAGGGTTGATTTATAGATTTGTCCTGATCTCAGGAGTGTCCTCTTTCCTCTTTAGTGGCATTCTTTTCAAGAAGGCCACTAATGGTCATTGTACATCCTGTGCTCCTCTGCAGAGCACCCTGAGAGTAGGTGCGTGATAGCATGGCTGACTCCCTCTTCTCAAGTACGTTCACTTTAAAGCTCTGATAATTGCTCACAGAATTCCCAGTGGGATAGGTCCTATTTACTTTACCTTGCAGTTTTTTTATAGTTAGGAGTGTAAATGCAAGTCTTCAGTTGGCCTTTAAAGGCTGTGGCTACTAAGAAAGTTTAGTAAATGACAGGAACAATTTTTACAGACCCTGTAAGAATAAGAAGCTGCTATTTTTTTCACTCTGAAAAACCCTCCATTAAGCTTCGATGGATTCTATAGTCCTTGACAGATTTTTTTTTTTTTAAAGCAGATGGCAAAATTATAGAAGTCTAGAAGTGGAGCAGAGGTGCTCCTTATCCTTCCTTCTTGCCAGGAACCCATAAATTTCACATATTTCTTGACCAAACTGCAGATGTGAAGTGCATATGTCAAGGCTGTTGAGGTAACCTGGGAAACAAAAATTGTAGATATTGTATGAGTTTGTTAATTGAGAGACTTTGCAGTTTTTTATTTATAATTAAAGTGGACAGATGTGATGAGAATGAGGACTGATTAATGCTTAATTTGTTAACTCATTCTCAGCATGGTCTCCATGAAATTTCAGGAAGTGGTGACTGGAAAAACTTTTCTCTTGGAATACATGTTTCTGGCAGGACTAACACTATGTCTGTCCTCCAAAACCAAGTTGTTTTGATATAGTTGAGAAGACTGAATTGATATGAGTCACATTCCAGGAGTAAATAAATGTAGAGGCTAATTCATCTCCTGACTCCTTACAAATTGGCTTATCTCTTAGGAACAATTGAAGGTGTTGGGTCTTATATTTCAACATCTGCTGCACAGTGGAATTGCAGAGTTTTTATTTATTTATTTTTATAAATTTGTATACAAGTCCATTTACTCTTCTTTCAGTACAGAATATGCATAACATTCTTTCAAAAGATGAGCCTGGGGTGTAGAAATATTGCACTTTTAATGGCCTGCTGACATGGATACTTTCAGGAAAATATACTCACTAAATTTTAAAAATAGAAAAGGAAATAGTAGGCAAAATTAATAGAATAATTTAGTTCTTTAGAAAAATTTGCATAGCACCAGTTGCAAGTTGCTGTTCCTTTTTGATTGATGGTTTGCAACCTTTTCAGTAATTGAACTGTGTAAGGACAAATAACTGGATGACAGTAAAATTCAGAGACCTCTGTAATTATTTAAAGACTGTTATTTTAAGGATAAAAGGCATTCTATAATTTGTAATCTGAATATACTTCATATTTCTTAATTATTACTGCTAATTCTTATTTGTAATATAATGAACCAGATTACAGCTTCTTAAAGGGAACCCATAAATATTGATTTATACATCCCTATATATTTTTGTGGGGAATGCTTGAATGAGTTTATATATGAGGAAAGTAAAGTGAGTAAGTAACAGTTAACTTGTCTCTCATTCTGGACAAAGTCTTTATAACTTGATTGTATCTTTTGCTAAACTTAAAACAGATAGTACTGTTAAAATACTTCAGAAGGTTATGTAAATTTCTTTAAATTAAATAGAGAGGGTGATTGTCCTCTGTGCTGCTGCGGCCTCACCTCAAGTCCTGTGTGCAATTTTAGGCATTGCAGTATAATAAAGACATCAAGCTATTAGCAAGCATATGAAGGAAGGTTACAAAGATGGTGAAGAATTTAGAGGGGAAGCCACGTGAGGAGCAGCTGATGTCACTTAGTTTGTTCAACCTGGAGAAGAGGAGACTGAGGGGAGACTTCACAGCAGTCTACAGCTTCCTTGTGATGGGAAGCAGAGGAGCAGGCACTGATCTCCTCTGTGGTGACCAGTTACAGGACCCAAGGGAATGGCATGAAGCTGTGTCAGGGGAGGTTTAGATTAGATATTAGGAAAAAGTTCTTCAGCCAGAGTGTGGTCAGGCACTGGAACAGGCTCCCTGGGGAAATGGTCACAGCACCAAGCCTGACAGAGTTCAAGAAGTGTTTGGACAATGCTCTCAGGCACATGGTATGATTCTTGGAGCTGTTCTTTGCAGGGCTGAGAGTTGGACTTTGATGATCCTTGTGGGTCCCTGCTAACTCAGGATATACTATGATTCCATTCAGAAGAACCCCAACAGTTTGGAGAGATGGACAGAGAAGAACTGTCCAAAATTCAGTAAAGTCAAATTCAGGGTCCTGCACCTGGGGAAGAATTGACCCCATGTACCAGTACAGACTGGGGGCTAACCCTCTGCAGCTCTGTGGAGAAGGACCTGGGGGTCCTGGTAGACAACAAGCTGTCCATGAGCCAGCAGTGTGACCTTGTGACCAAGAAGTCCAACAGTGCATTAGGAAGAACATTGCCAGCAGGTCGAGGGAGGTGATCCTGCCTCTCTGCTCAGCCTGTATCTTGGCTGTATCTGGAGTGATGTGTCCAGTTCTGGGCTCCTCAGTATAAGAGAGACATGAAACTCCTGGAGCAGGTCCATTGAAGGGCAACAAAGGTGATCAAGGGATTGGGGCATCTCTCAGAGAGGTTTGGGCCTGTTTAATTTCAAGAAGAGATGTGTAAGGGTACTTCATCTGTATATCTAAGAATCTGAAGGGAAGGTGTAAGAGGACAGAGTCAGGCTCTTCTTGGTGATGCCAAGCAATAAGACAAAACGCAGTGGTCAGAAAATGATGCATGGGAAGTTCCACCTGAATACAAGGAAGAACTTCTTTATTGTGCGGGTGACCACACACTGGGATGGAGCACAGAGAGGTTGTGGAGTCTCCCTCACTGGAGATAGTCAAGAGGTGTCTGGACACAATCTTGTGCAATGTGCTCTGGGATGACCCTGCTTGATCAGGGAGCTTGGACCAAATAGTCCACTGTGGTCTCTTCCAACCTTACTCATTCTGTGATTCTATGATTTATTGAAGGCATAAACTTAAATACTTGTGTAAAAATTGTTTAAATAAGTGGTGAAAAGTTGGCAAGGTTAGTTAGTAAACTGAAATGAGAAATACTTTGTGCTATTGAATTTGATTATGCCAGGCTGATTAAACAGTATGTTCTTTTTCTTTTCTCTCATTGCAGCCTGTGCTTTCCGTTACAATGGGCTCTCCTTCGTCTACCTCATCTACCTCCTGCTCATTCCTCTGTTTTCAGAACCCACAAAAACAACGATGCAAGGTAAGATGTTCATTACTTCATTCTTCAGAATCTATCATGAACGCAGTACGTGCAAAAAGCCTTGGTGTAGTACAAGGTGAAGTCCTGAACATTTTCTCTTCATTAACTGATCTAACTTGTAATAAATACTGTAAATTTCCTGACCGTGTACTTTCACAATATGCTGGCTTTGGTGCTGAAGGACTTCCAACCACAATACCATTCTTGCCCCAAAGTGCATCAGGGCTCTTTGATAGTGCTAATAGGGGTTCCTCTTTATGGCATTATTTCACCTGGAATAATGGCATGGTCTGGGTGAAAAATGAGCTTTCAGAACCTTCCCAAAGCCATCTCTCCTTTTTATAATGCCTCCTTTTTAAATGCCCTCTTAAGGTACTGGAAGGCTGCAATGAGGTCTTCCTGGAGCCTTTTCTTCTCCAGGCTGAACAACCCTAACTTTCTCAGCCTGTTTTTATAGGAGAGGTGTTCCAACCTTCTGATCATCTTCATGGCCCTCCTCTGGACCCTGTCTAACAGGTTAATGTCTTTCCTGTGCTAAGGAGCAGCTAAGAGCTAGATACAGCACTTCATATGGGGTATCACCAGAGTGGACTAGAGAGGCAGAATCACCTCCCTGCTGGCCACAATGCATTTGATGCAGCCCAGCATGCAATTGGTTTTGTAGGCTGCTAGCACATGCTGTTGGTTCGTGTCCAGCTTTTCATTCATGAGAACCTCCAGGTACTTCTTGTCAGGGCTGCTCTCAAGGAGTTCCTCTCCCAGTTTGTGCTCATGTGTGGGATTGCCCTAACCCAGAAGCAGCACTTTGCACTTGGACTTGTTGTACCTTGTGATGTTCTCTTGGGCCCACTTCTCAAGCTTGTCCAGGTCCCCCTGGATGGCGCTTCTTCCTTCTGTAGTGTCAGCTGCACTACTCAGCTTGGTGTCATCTGCAAACTTGCTGAGGGTGAACTCAATCTCACCGTCTGTGCCACTGTTTGAAGATATCGAAGAGCACTGGTCCCAAAACAGAGCCCTGAGGGACACCACTTGCCACCTGGACACAGAGCCATTGACCACAACTCTCTGATTGCATCCATCCAGCCAATTCCCTATCCACTGAATAATTAATTCATCAAATCCATGTCTCTCTAATTTGGAGATAGGATGTCATGTGGAAGACCATACTGAAGGTCTTACAGAAGTCTGGGTAGATGGACATCTTTTAGTCTGTTGTCAACTGCTGCCATCATCTATCATAGAAGGCCACCTTGACGCCTAAGCTAAAGGAAAAGAAGTGCAGAAAATTGCACATTATTAAATAGGATATAAGTTATAAATAAATTATAAATAAATCAAAGTTAGTTTTTCAAAAATTACTTGGAGTGAGATAGATCTTAATTATACCTTAATTATATATATTAGGAGTCTTCATGAATTGCAGTTGAAGTATCTCGACAGAACTACAAAACAGGCAAGGAATCAGATGAGAATTAGGGTGCTTTTGAGATCTAGTCTGTTAGCTATAGGATTCAAATCTCTCACCCCTTGGTGAAGAAACTATCTTCACAAAGTATCCCAGTACAGAAGTGGTAAAAGCTGGATTTTATGCATTTGTATTTTATTCCTTAGTTTGTACACTCTGCTTCCCCAACCATTTTTCATGCAGTTTCTACCAGTCACTCTAAACTAACTCACTGTTTTTTGAGAAGGATCCATACTGATTGGGTGGGCTTAGTTTATATTGATTGTGTAAGTATCCAGTGGAGCCAGGAAAACGGTTCTGAAAAATAAATAAGCAAAAAAGGTGGGAAATCAATCCCACTCTAGGTAAGGCTGTCTGTCATTTTTACAGGGGTAAGTTACAAAGACAGTGTAAGAATGGAACACCAGTCCAGCCGTGAGTTAAAGTTTCTCTTAAAAGTGCTGAAGGTAGTACTTGAGAGAGATGCACTTATTAGACATTTGGTTTCAGCTTCTCAGATACTATGCAATTAGCCTGTTGGTTTTGTGTGTTTTACCTTTGCTACCCTTTCTGTGCGTGCCAGGAGGAGTGATTGACACCATAGACAGAGCTGTTTTCTAGATGCCAAAAGTGACAATGGAGAGACATCCTAATTCTCTTCTTTTAGAGTCTAAAAAAGTCTATCTAATTTAGTGTAGTTCCTGTGTGATTTGATAGAGTCATCTAGTTTGCATCATTGATGGCAGCAATTTTTCCTCAGAGAAAAATGCTTTCTTAGGACTTTGGATAGTTTCCCCATATTGCATTACACTTCTCCTGAATGTCATGTTATGATGTGTCTGTGAGAATTAATTTCTTACATAAATTCAGTATTTCTGAATGTAAACATTTTGCCACTATCACTTGTTTTAATTGTGTGTGTGTGTGTGTGGGGTGAATCTTTCTAGAAAGTGTTGAGGGATTTTTTTTTTTTTTTTTTTAATGTCAGGAGGGTGGAGAAGAAAGGGGAAATCTTTAACTATTTTAGCTAAAACCAGCCAAACCACCAGTAAAACAGAGTCAAAAGTTTAATGAAACAAAGTTTATTTAAAAAACCCCAAACCCCAGACAACAAAACCCAATATGTTTATATATTTTACTTGTATTTTCCCCCATTAATTTCTGTACTCAAATAATACTTTTGAGTCTTCTATTCTCTTTCTGTTTTATTCAAGTTGTTGTTTTTTTTCCTGAAATCTTACTTCTTTTGATTAAGTCCTTTTATTCTTTTGAGTTTTCTGGTCTCCTTCCACTAAGCTTTTCTTTCCTCGTCATCTCCTGACTCACTCAACTCCTCCATCACAATCTCTGACCAACATTCCTATCTCTTGCACTTCCATCTGTTTTTTCAGTTTACCACCTTGCACTTTCCAGTTACTGAACTTCTGAAACTTCTCTCCACTAGGCTTAAGGGTTTTTACAGGCTACAGAATTAGAAATTAATCTGGAATGGATGATGTCAGTCTAGATTAATTTAAATTTGGTCAGAAACTTAAAAAGGTTAGAAACATTGGGGAAAAATATTATACTCACTGAAATAGTTCAGATGGTGTTTAAAGCTTAATAAGTAATTTTTTTTTATTTTCTCCCCGCCCGTCCCCTCCAATATTTAATCTTCTTAGAAAGTGTAGTTGCTAAGCTAAAGTATTATTAACCCCTAATCATGGAGATATAAGGCACTGTCTGCATCTTTGACAGTGTTCCATATATTTGTTTTAAGACAGTTTTAACTGACAGGTAAAAAATTGACCTCTTTTGAAGTATAGGAGACATCTCCTTCAGTCGGAATTGAAATGAGGAGTTATTCAAAATTTAGCTGAACATGTTTGCAGAAATGCTGCTAAACTGTCCATGAAGCTAGCTGAACAAGGGAAAAGATATTCCAGAGCTTTTATGTGCAGATGAAAATGTATTTGATTAACTCTCTCCTTCAGCTCTGTCTATTATTTATAATCCTTGAAATCAGAGATTACAAATCTGGTTAAATAGCAAAATATGCTACTCTTCATGAAAGAACTGTGAAGAAAACATTCATTGCAAGTAACATTTCTGGTCTACAGGAGTAATTTAAAACTTGATTGGACCAATTTTTTAAGGGTTGCTAATGGGAACTGCTTTTGAGGCCTCTTTACGTGTGTTGTGAAGCCATGTGATCTTAGTATTTTCCTATATGAACTATTTCTAAAATCAGTAACCTAATTCTCCAGAGATGACAAATATGCAGTAAACCGTGCAATAGGTTAGTTTCTAACTTCTTTGATTGTGAGATTGTTATATTAGTAGTTTTTTTCTCTGTGTCTAACATCTACTGTAATTTTGTCCTCATCCTTAATAAAGACTTCTACATGATGTTTTTATAGAAATACAAAAACATAGATTTTTCCTGTCAATGTCTCATTTATAGTACTAAATAACTGTTTTATGTGGCTATAACTTATTTATTTTACTAGCAATCTTTTTACACTCTGCTGCACTCACTTCCATGAGTTTCACACTAACTTTAAGCATCTGACTTTAGGCATCTAATTCAAATATTCAAGTTAAAAATTGGGTAAACCTATATATTAACTGAATAGAAGTAGGATTCTCATGGTGGTCCTCAGAGTTCCCCATTTAAGCCTCCACTGAGTCAAAAAATATTAAATTAGAAGCATAATTTTAAACCTCATCTGCACTATGAGGTATTAAGTCTTCTGAACAAAAAAGAGGAGCTTAGGTGAGTATTTTTGTGATACTCATGAAAGGGAAAAAAGATGGTTAATCCCTTAATTGTAAAATCTTGCACTGAAAAATTCATGGTTAAGAGGTTTACAGTAAAAAAAAAAAAAAAGAAAAAAAGAAAAATACTTTCTATATTACTGAATCTGCTGCTCTGACAAAGGTTCACTTTTAGTTTTTCAAAATTTCCTGAATGTTGCTTCAGAATGAACTGCTATCCAAGGTGTATATGTCGAAATCACTTGAAAATAACTTAAAAAACAAAAAACATGGAAACCAAATCATTGATTTTGAGAGTTGAACGGAATTCCTCTCCCTCATTAGTCCTGTTAAAACCATCTTAGTGGTGGTGAGGGTCTTGCTTAAGCTATATCAAAAAAGAATGAAACATTTAAAAAATGAAACATCCTAATAGATGTTAGATAGATACATTGGAGTAGTCTTTCATGCCTGCTATTATGAAATGTTGACGTTTGCAATATTACATATCTGTTTCAAAGCTGTGGAAAAGATCCTTAACATTTTTGATCTTTTCCATTTAAGCTAACTCTAATAATTTTCACCACCCAAGTGGTGAAATAACCCAGTGTTATTACTAGGATTTGATGGAAAACACAAATTGTGTAGCAATTTGGGGCTTTTCTGTTTTTCTTAAATGATATGCATAAATAGTGAGGTGGTAGGTTGGAAATACGGGTTTTGATTTTGGAAAGACTTGTTTGCATGGTATTTGTTGCCTGCTTTGAATAGGAATTCAGTTGAATGTGCATCTTAAGCTTACAAGTCTTTTATGAGTCTT